GCGCTGTCCAGTGCAGACCCGCGGTGCCTGGGAACACGGTCCCCCTGCCACAGGCCCACACGCAGGCGTTCCTGCCCAGCGGGTGAGCAAGAACGCCACCTAGTTGTTTTCACTGGCGTGGCATCGTTTGGGTGTCACCGTTTCCGTCACGCCCAGTCTTTGTTCAGAACAGCACCCATCTCATCCAGTTGCGTGGTTCCGTCCTTGTCCCGGGAGCCCCTCCGTGGCACGGAATTGGGGGGGGGGTCTGCAGGTCCGTTCTAGCCCTCATGCAGGCTGAGGCCAGCCTGAGAAAGACCTGGCTCTTCAAAGACTTTCCATTGAACTTGGAGCTGACCAGGCTTTTAACCACAGCCCAGAGACATTTCACTCTGCAGAGACGTGACGTTTTATTTTAACAGCTCTCAACAGTGCGTCCTTTCCGAGCGGCTTTTCAAAAGCACCTTTTGTCGGCAGAGGGCCGTGGTTAGCTGGAGTGGCCTTGCTGTGCTGCCCGTGAGCTGGGAGAGAGACCTGTGCTTGGGCACCAGGCGTGGAAAGTGGTGCAGAAACCCCCTCCAGGGGCGACCCTCCAGGGGCGACCCTCCAGGGGAAAGAAGCCGCCAGCTCTCCGAGGCCGCGATTTTCGCTCTGGGCTGCACCTTCACGGGAGGACGTTCTCAGTGCTAACGTCTAGAAGGTAAAGGGTCCCCAGACCGTTCCCACGCGGGCAGTTGTATGAAGGGAAAACCACAGGGGTTCCACATGGCGGTGGGCTCAGCCGTGAGCACGGGAACTCGGGCGCTCTCAGTGCGAGGTGTCTGGTCTGGGCCCCCGAACGCCAGGCGGCAGGCAGAATGTCCACACGCAGGGAGCTCGGCATCGGCTGTGGAACTGGGAGCCAGTCGTGGCGGCTGCAGCGGGGCCGTGACTGGTGGCGAGAGGCTCGCCGACCCAGGCCACGGGGCTGTTGGTGTCGTGGCTCCGGGATCAGCCCTCCAACGCTCAAGGAGTGAAGGGGAGGCTGGGGCTTGGGGGGGTCAGGACGCCGGAGACGAGGCTGGCACTGGGAGTGCGGGCACTTTCCTATCAAAGGGGGGTCCACGTGAGCGGCCTCACTGAGACACCCATGAGTGGACGGCTGTGTGCGGGCAGCGGCCGCCCCTTCTGCTGTCGTAGGAACTGGCTCACAGTGGGGGAGGGCAGCCAAAGGACACGCGTGGGCTCAGGCTCCCAGCTGTGAGGAGGCGGGTGGGCACGGTGCCAGCCCTGCCCCGGGTCTCCAGGGCCAGCGCCACCTGTCCCTCATCTTCACTGGGAGCGGGGAGGCCGCATTCTCCATGCCTGTGGGTCTCAGACTCGAGGTTGAGTCCGTAATTCAATGAGGAGAGATGTGAAAATGGACCCTCGTTCATTAAAAGGGTAATTACCTACTTGTCCTGTGCTGGAAGGATGAGGGCTTATGGGTTTTTCATAAAATTGTAAGTTTGCGCGGGGCTGGTGGGGTCATTCCACTCTGCCTTTAAGCAGAGTTGAACCCCCCGGGACGATGGCCGCTGCTCAGCCAGGATCTGCAGACGGCTGCTGACGGCCGCCGGTGCTCAGGCAGCCCTCAGCCCGTGGAACACGCTGCCGTGGGGAGTGTGCGGGCGTGGAGTGGAAGGCCATATCTTTCCAGTCCTCTTTCGGTAGAGAAAACAAGGTTATAAATGCCCTTCATTTTCATGAATGCAAAGAATACACACGAAGAACCTACTGTGTGCTGTGTGTGGGCGACGCAACGGCCTGAGAACAGGCAAGACAGATCCAGTTCTTGCTGGCGTTTGGCTGAAAGACACGTGATGGGTCATAGCCACACCCACATAAACAGTGATTACAAAAGCGAACGAGTTCTTCTGGGGCAATAACAAGTGCAAAGGTGTGAACAGAGCCAGCGCCGGGCGTGGGGAGAAGGCGCTCCCCACGGAGGGAGCCGCAGGAGCGCCGGGGTGGGCGGGGCTGTGGCGCTGGCGTTCGGCGAGGTCAGGGACCGAGGGCAGGCAGCCGGGCTTGGAGTTTACCCCACAAGGTCACCTGGCTGCTGTGTGGTCAGTGAGTGGGGGTGGCAGTCAGAGCGGGAAGGCAAGCTAGCAGGCCATGGGGCGGGGGTGGGGGGATGCCTGGGCAGAGTTGGTGGCAGGGGGACAGAGAGGTTTGCGGTGCATGCAGGGGCCGCATTGATGGGTTGGACACGGAGTCCAGGCTGACGTCCAGGTTCTGGCCGGGGGGCCGGTGATACGGTGGTGCCACTGAGTCGGTGGGTAACTGTCAGGACCAACAGGCCCTGGTGGGAAGGACGGGACTTGGACGTTTGTGTCTGCATATGTCACACCGGGGACACCCGTGACCCACACCAGCAGGACATCAGGCTCTACGTCTGGAGCTGAGAGAAGGTGGAGAACGGTGCTTGTGTGGCGACTGGGTGTCCCCGGTGACGATCTGTGGGGCAAGCGGGGGATGACGGAAGGACAAAGAGGGAAGGACGGGGCCCAGGTGCGACTCTGAGGGACTCCAGCTCCCGCCGCCCAGTCCTGAGAGACTCAGAGTAGTCAAGGGGCAGGGCGCCCTTGGGTCACCTTCCCGGCTCCCGAGCCCACTCCCGACGGGAGAGGGGTGGGTTCAGGTCACACTCTTTAGAAGAGTGGCGACTTCTTCGTGTGTGTGGCCGCCTGTCTCCCGTCAGTATCCAGGTCCTCGACATGCAGCCTTTGGGCTGTGAAGTCCCTGGGGTGGCCAGTGTCCTGTGACGCACCCTCACTCGGCAGTACATTCATTTCCCAGTCACTTTGGCCGTTTTGGTAACCTCCTTCACCGACCTTTCAGATTCATGACCCTGATTTGGGGGGCATTAGGTTAACACGCCCCTAGACCTCTCCCCCAAAGCTGCGGCGTTCCGATTCCTCAGGCAGCTTGGGGCGCGGTCCTGCGGCCCAGGGGAGCCCGACATGTGGTAGGACCCCCTCTCGCAGGTGTGAGCCTCTCTAATTTTGCCATGTCTATTCAACCCGGTTGTCTGGTTTCCACTGAGTGAGCCTCTGCGACCCGAGGAGAACTGATGTGTAGTTCCTCCGACCTCACTCTGTGTCCGAGTTTGGGCCAAGTCCAGGTGAACCGGGTCCTGGGCTCTGCTCAGGCCCCCGTGCAGCTCATAACCCGGCTGAACCTGGGGTTGCGGATGTATTTCCAGTTGCCACGTACTGGATGTGTTTGTAGCAAAGGGCATTTCAGAGCATTGCTGAAGGACCTCGGGGCGGTTACCTGTCGTGTATACACTGACTAATTAATGCTGTTGAGTGACTCGTGTGGAAATGATCTTTAACAAAGTCCTGTGGTAATGCTTTGATGTTACTTTTCTTTTTTAAAAAAGATTTTAAAGCAAGCAAGATTTTTTTTAGAGAGGGGAAGGGAGGGAGAAAGAGGAGAGAAACCTCAATGTGTGGTTGCCTCTTGTGTGCCCCCTACTGGGGACCTGGCCCACAACCCAGGTGTATGTCCTGACTGGGACTTGAACCAGCGACCCTTTGGTTTGCAGGCTGGCACTCAATCCCCTGAGCCACACCAGCCAGGGCTGATGCTATTTTTCTTTGTGACATAATTCTTCCTGTGGTGTTTGCTTTGGTCTCACAATGTACCTACCACCTGAACCTGCCGAGAAAGGTGGAAATCTTTTTTTAAAAGTTTATGCTGAAAAACAAAGGTCATTGTTCAGTGAAAGTGTAGATAAAATAGCCATTAGGTGTCTCGAAACAGACTCTCCCTTTTACCCTGTAAAGACTCTAGAACTGTCACTGGGCCCTCTCAGCAGAGAGAAAGTGCAATGACAGTGATGACGTCCCTCCTGTCACAGGCCAGCTGTGACACTCCTCCCACAGGTCGCTGTTTTCAGGACTCGGAACTCGAGTCACACCGGATTCGGTCGTCAGAGAAAGGGGACGTGGGGCCGGATGGTCAGCCCTCGTCCCAGGCAGGCTGGGGAGCTCGGCGGACAGCAGGGTGCCGCGCCCCACGCAGGGCATGGTGAGGAGGAGGCATGAGCCCACGAGGTGGCCATGCTCCGTGGAATGGGAAGTCACTGGTGTGATTTTGCATCCCCCCCCACATGGTTTTGCTCTGGGAAATGACGAAGGACCCGTCGGGGTGAAGGGAGGCCCGGGCCTCTGAGCCTCTGGGACGGAGGGTCCCGACTGCGGCCGAGCCGCCGCGGGGAAGGCCGTTGTTCTTTCCTCGCGTGCCTCTCCCGGACAGACAGTTTTTACAGCAGCACACCAAGGAGTTCAAGACACACGCAGGAGTCTCGTGGGAGGCCGGTCCGGGGAGCGGGCAGAGGGGTCATGTTCAGTTGAAGGCCCTTCTCATGCGTGTCAGTGGCGTTGAGGTGCTGGTGGTGGACGCCGTCAAACGAGGGTGCCTGCCGCCATGGCCGAGCCCGCATGTCGCACTGCTGGGGGCTTCTGCCCTCCGCGGCTCCCCTCGGTCAGATGCAGTCCCACCTCTGCTGAAACGCACCGAAGACTCCCCACGTCCGAGCAAACGCTGCAGTTTTATAAATCTGTCCCCTGGCCCGACACTGCGTCTCGGGCCTGGTCTGGAGCTCTGTCGCTCACCCACTCCACCCCACCACGTCATCCTTGAACCCGCCAGGCCACGTTGCTTCGTCTTGATCGCTCCCTCCCGCTGTCTCCCTGTTGCTCTGTCTCAGACTCTCCGTGGGGCCGCCACACCCCACTCTCCCCTCTGCCCCCAGCACCTGGCTCCCTCCCTCCCCTTTCCAGTCCCTTCCCAACTTCCCTTCTCGCTGGTGTCCTTCCTGCGCACCAGTGGGAAAGGCAATCCTGGCACCCCATCCCCACCCCCTCCTCGTACTTGTAGACGTCTGTCTTCCCGGTAGTACGTCTCCTTGGCTTCGTTTCCTTTGTAACGCTTCTTATTTTCTAATAGAGGTAAACTTACCTGGTTTATTCATTTCCACTCTCTTTCCCCAGGACCATCACACACTCCTGGCCGCCGAGCGGGCTTTCCCTGGTTCTGTCTCGTCACCATTGCAACCTTGAGGCCTAGAACAGGGCCTCACATGCGGTGGGCACGCCGCACCTGACGCACTGAGTGGCGGGGCCCCCACCTGCACACGGGGGACCCTGAGAAGAGCACCAGGACCCCTGGCTCCGCCAAGCTGCCCTGCACGTCCGGCCCCACCTGCCACTGAGCACGGCACTGTCCCTGCTCTTGAAGAATCTCTCCATCCCCTCCCCATCCTCGTTCTTGTCAAGGCCGCAAGGGGTTGGGAAGATGTTCTTTTTCACAAAAAATGGACCCGAAAGCCCTGCTCCAGGCTTTCCATTTGCCCCGACAAGTGTATGGACCTGAGTTCATCTTCAGTGTCCCGTGTCTGGAAGGAGCCCCTCTGAGAAGGGGGGCTTTCTGGGTTTCAGAGGGAACCACGCTCTTCGGGGGCTCTGATGTCTGGCTCTCGGAAAAGTCAGCGCCTGCAGCTCTTCCGCATGGGGGGCTCGGACCGCCCGTCCCTGGCAGAGGGGGGCCAGACGGGCTCTGCTCCATCTACCAGGGAGCCCGTCTCAGCCCGGGCGCAAAGGTGACGAGGCCACAAGATCTGCTCTGTGCTGGGGGACCAGAGTTGAGGACACGACAGGGCCCAGCTGCCTTACGCCAATTACCGTGCTTTGCAGACTTGGCATTTGGAGGGGCGGGCGGTTTGTAGGGAGGCCCTGTTCGCCCTGGATGAGCTCTGGTGGGGTGCGCAGGGTGCTGGCCACAGCCTGAGTTCAGGGGCCGCATTCCTGACCTGCAGGGCCCTGAACGGAGGGGGCGCGGCTAGAGACCCGGGGTGGCCTCAGGTTCCGGGTGGGGCTGGTGCCTGCTGTGCTGGCAGTGACAGAACACCTTTCAGGGATTGCTTTTGCATCAGATCCCAAGGCGAGGAGATTAGGTGGCTCTCTGTTGTTTAAGCTGGTTTTATCTTTCCTGATGTCTAGAAAATGAAGCATGGCAGTTCCCGTTACCGAATTTAATTTTCCTTTGAGTCGATTATCAGCGTGGTGCTGCTTCTCCGCTCTCCTGCCTGGTTCAGGGCGGCTGGGCCGTGGGCCGTGTTTCCTCAGTGGCCCTGGGCGTAGCTGTCGGGGCTGAGGGCTTCCGAGCCCCTGCTGAACGCCCGACCTGCGGGCTGTCGTGCAACGGGCGGCAGAACACATTTTGTGCCCCTTTTCTCGACCTTTCCCCAGCCTCGATCTCGTTTCCGGGCACCCTGGCGGGCCAGCACCTGGTGAATAGAAGAAAGATGTAGGAGGGAAGCCCTGTGCCGGTGTGGGGTTCGAGAAGGGAGGAGAGACTCCGGCTGGAGGAAAAGGGTGCAGTCGGGACACTTCTGCTGCCTGAATTCCGTGTCATGTAAATAACTGCTGACCCAACACCAAGGGTCAGTCATTTTCACCCTGCATGTCCCAGTGTCCCCTGGGGTAGACAGGGCTGGAATCACCTCAGGTTTGCGTTGAAGGGGACCGAAGTGCAGGGGCTTTAGGAAATTAGTCCTCTTAAGAAGAACTACGCAGAAAAGCAAGAAGAAATTTAATATAAACTGTTTTTCACGTCTATTTTGGGGAGGATTAACATTTAATGGGTAGTAATGTAATATTAAAACAAAAGTTTGCGCACGCTCCATTATTTACATTGAATTAGCAAAGCGAAATTTTAAAATAAAAAATTTAAAATTAGGCTTCTCCTTTTTTTCCCCTCCTAATTTACTTAATGTTTCTACTTTCTACTTAACTCCCTGTGGAGTGACTGAGAATCAACCAGAAAGTGTTTGATTCCTTAGACCAAAGAGTTCTTAAAGGCAGAAGAAGCCTCACCCTAATTTCCTGGATAATCCCCAGTAGTTGACAGAGTCTCACCCAGGACAGGAAACACTTGCTGAATGAACACGCACATGGACGAGTGAACAAGAACTGGGTGAGTAAGTGATTGAATCAGTGAAGGGAAGGGCCGAGGTCTATTCTGACTTCCCTACTTTGCTGGGCTGTGTGTGTGAGAAAACATGCCCCCCCCCCCCAGAGGAAAGCAACCTCTTCATCTTTATTCTCATAGACTCACATTTTGCTGTATTTTTGTTACCTAATACTTTCAGAAAGAATACCATGGCTCTGTGGATTAGCCACTGGTTTAAGACAACAGCGGTCATTCGTTATCTCTTACTATCCTGTGTCGGCGGTGCTCTGCTGGGTGGTTCTTCTGCGCCATGTGGCCTTGCCGCGGCTGCGGTGAGCTTGGTGCTCGACCAGCCTGGTTGTCAGGACAGCTCACACTCCTGGGTGGCACCGGGCGACAGCAGCTGGGGCTGCTGACTGACCCCTCCCCACGTGGTCTCTCACGTGGCTTGGGCTTCCTCTCACTTCACGGCAGGGCAGTTCCAAGAATGTTCCAAGGGCATGAGAGCAGAAGCTGTAGGGCTCCTTAGCTGGGGTCTTAGAAGTGACCGAGTTACTTCCACTGCGCTCCACTGGGCAGAGCCAGCCGCGGGGAAGCCCAGATTCCTGGGCAGAGGAAGCGGCCTTCCCCTCTCAGTGATCACAGCCGCAAAGACTTTGTAGCCTTCTTTCTGCTACAGTGAGGTGCCTTTGGGGGAAGGACCCGTCTGTGGAGTGCGTGCGTGTAAGAATTAATGGACAGATGATGAGTGAATGAATGAACAAAATATGTAGATTATGTCTGAATTCCAACCTTGGCTCCATCACTTACTCAATGTGTGATTGGGTCATTTAAGTGTGTTGAGCCTCAGTTTTCTCAACTGTGAGTTGGGGATTTTGGGGGATTCAATCAGGTCACCCATGTAAAGTACCAAGCTCAGTGATGCAGGTCCGTAGTATGAAGTCAAGAAGTTGTTAGCTGCTATTATTTCTTTTTTTTTTAATTTTATTTATCTTTAGAAGGGAAGGGAAGAAGAGAGGGAGAGAAACAGCAATGTATGGTTGCTTCTTGTGCTTCGCCTGCTGGGACCTGGCCTGCAACCCAGGCATGTGCCCTGACGGGGAATCGAACTGCAGTCTTTTGGTTTGCAGGCCTGTGCTCAATCCACTGAGCTACACCAGCCAGGGCAGCTGCTATTATTTCTATTGCTATTATCATTAGTGTTAAATGTTACTATTGTTAAAAAGTAAAAGTCAGCTGGGTTTTGTCTGGGTGGTGGAAAAGCATCATGACACCTCTCCGGAGACGCTTACTCTAACCACGTTTGGCCTGGGAACTTCCGATGCCGGTGAGATGAACCTCAGTATTACGTCACCAGACGCTGGCGGCCATCCACGCTACAGGCTTCACACAGACAGAAACTCGACATCAGAATTCTCAGTAGGTCACTGTGCTCTTTCCGATCCCCGGAGACAGGGAAAATCCTCTCAGGGCTTCGATTTTAAAGGTCGATTTAAATTGCTCAGTTGTGGTAATGGCAGTCCATTAAATATCATTTCCATTTGGAGGGAAAATGGGGTGAAAGAGCAAACATATCTGTAATTTGACAAAATCACTTCTTGTGCAGAGCTGCGAAGTGATACTGGGCCGGAGGCAAGCATTTGGGCACACGACAGACGCCCGGTTTGTTCTGCCAGTATCTTCGTCTTGCTGTGGATAAAGGCTGCCTGTTACCTGATGTCCACAGCAGAAGAGAAACAGCGGATAGAATAAAACTTTTCCTGCCCTAATCTGCCCCTACAATCCTGTCCATCTGTGTTAATGGCTGAAGCCCGAGACACCCCCCGCTCCATCTTCCCCGATCGCACCCAGTCCCCAAACGGGCCTTCGGACGCACATGCGGTGCCACCTCTCCTCTGCATTTTTCGCTTGTTGTCCTGGTCCACACTGTGTCATCTCCGGCCGAGGCTGGGAGCGCTCCTCCCTGGTGCTTCCTGCCCTTTTGGGTCCCTTCTCTGCACAGCCATCTGAAAGTTTAAAAAACTCTTTCCAGTGACTCAGCTTTATTCTTAGAACCGAGTCTGAATTTCCTCTCTGGCTCAGCTGCCCTCTGAGGCCATCTCTTTTCCACTCTCTCCCCGCCCCCCGCGTGGGCCCCCGACACAGTGGCCCTAGGTCTGTGCTTCACACGCACTCAGCTGAAGCTCACAGTCGCTGAAAGGCCTAGAAACACGCTGTATCTTTGGTCTGAAATTCTCCCCGTTCGGTTCTCTCCACAGCAGCCTCATTCTTGGCCTTAAGTCTCAGCTTGGAGAAGCTTTTCTCGACCGTGGCTGACTTCGGGAGCTCCACTGGCTCCCCACCCTTCCTTGTCATCATCTGTCACCTCCTTCACAGCTTTGTGGCACTTTCCCCGCCGAGAGATCATGTCGGTCACTTATTTTCCATTTGTCCTCTTTTTAAAACTGCCAGCGCAAGGATCTCCTGTCCTGCCTTGTTTGCTTCAGGGACCGTGGCCCGCAGCAGGCTCCTGGGCATGGCAGGCGATCAACACATATTGGCTGAATATGTACAGGCGCCTCCAGGAAGCACACGCCTGTTAGGTCAATGTCACTCATGTATTTATTTTATAAAAAGTGTTCAGTGCTGAGGATGCATGAAAGTGGCCTGGTGTTGCCGGGACTTGGATTTGTGCAGATCCCTGCTTCCGCCGACGGACTGGTCTGCCGTCCCGCCAACCGGCGTGATTGCTCCAGCGACAGCCGTGGCGGCGTGCGGGGACGACAGAAAGGCTGTCATCTTGAGGCCCAGGGATGTCGTATTTTATTGGTGTCGGATGTGGAGGGCACTTAATGAAAAACGAAATGCTCTACAGGGCTTTCACTTTTCAACATTTGCTTTCAGTGAGTCAGAGTTGAGATCAGAAAGATTTGTAGATAAACCTATCGAACTAATGATAGGAGAGAGGAGAAGGGAGCCGTCTTTGTCATTTTCTGGCTGCAAAGTGGTGTTTCATTATCCACAGATAATCTCTCAGCATATTTTGAGGCCCTGCACGAAAATAGGTTTTGATACAGTCCTTAAGTATTCAGTGTGTATGGGGGGGGGGCGTCTTTCCCAGAGGAACCAGTTCCGTCTCATCATTAACCTGTGCTCCTTAGAGCAATTTACAACGCATTTCCTGATGTGGTCGTGGTCCCTGACAGTTCAGGCCGAGGTGACGCTTGGCACGGTCAGTTGTCTTAATCTTGCCGCAGTTTGGTGGCCCAGTTAGAGCAATCCTTTTCGTAACTGAACGTTGGTTTAGTTTTCTATTTTAAATCGCACTGTGTCAGGAGGGGGTGGGCAAAATGTACTTAAAACACTGTCCTAATTTTAAATCACAAATCTCTCCAGCATATTTAGGAGGATTAAGGCTGAGTTCTCTCCACTGTTTGAGGGCATTTCCGTAACGTTCGGACCTGAAATCACTCCGCCCCACTGAGGGCCCTCGGACGCCAGGGCAGCAGTCCGCGCTCTCCCAGGCCAGCCCGTTAGCGCAGGTTCCTTGTCAGCTTCCTCCTTCAGACTGGAGAACGAGTCCCCAGGCAGCTAAAGGCGCTTGGTCCAGGCCCCATGCGCTCGTGGGCAGAGTCGGGCTTTAATGCCTGGTCCTCCTGGCCCAAAACGTTTTTGATCGTCCCACAGAACTAAATGAACCCCTCCTTCTGGCTTAGCACCGTCTTACATGCCTGGTCGTTAGGAAGATCAGGCAGGGGTGAAGGGCAGAGGGAGGGGTTCAGTGTGAGACCGTGACACTCGGGAAAATTAGTTGGGACGTTCCCAGTGTGGGACATTACTTCCTCCTCTGGGGCCCTGGAGTGGCCCCAGCATCCCACGGCAGGGGACGAGTCCATAGACCTGACCGGCCTCTTGTCACCGAGCCTCGTCTTTTAGACGCTGTGGTTGGGGCGCAGGTGGCTCAGGCTCCCGCCGTGAGGAAGAGCCGGGCTGGCGAGGACTGGCTTCCAGCCTCTGGGGAGGCCTGTCCGCTTCTGGGAGACCCGCTGTCCTGCAGCCCCAGCCGTCCCACCTGCTCTCTCTGCCTGGTGTGGTCAACTGCACGGTGATGGTGGTCAGGCAGGTGGCCAGGGGCTTAGTGACACAATATGATTTCATTTCCACAGCGGCCTGGAGGGCTGGCCTTAGAGTCCGTGTTTCTCTGTGGTCAGTCCTGGGTCTGAGAAAGGCTAAGCCCCCTGCTGGGGCAATGGGCATGCTGGGGGTCAGCCTCGGTCTACCGGACCCCAAGCTGTGGGGGCCCCTAGGAGCGGTGAGAGGTAGTGATCTCATTTGAGAGAGGGGACTGGAGAGTCCACGGATTGAGGGAGATTGTGGGGATCCCCAAACCCTTGATTCAGAGCTACCAGTGCCTCTTTCCCAAGCCTGCCCCCCACCCCGCCCCAAGAAACGACCTCATCGAATGTCCCACTGACACCAGACACTCAGATCCGAACCCGTGCTCCATTTTGACGTCCTACTGTGCAGACTGTTGCCGACTGGGACTCTCGCGAGACACAGAGGGCTTGGCAGGAGGAAGGCCTGCTGGAGTGAGGTGGCTGCAGTGACTCATAGTTTTAATGTGAACAGTTCACTGAAATGTCGTGTGCTGTGCTCGAGTGTGGAATAGCTATGTTATAGGGCTACATGCTTACGGTTTTGTAGTAAAGGGTTTTGTAAAAAAAAGGCATAGGATTTGCAAC